TTTCACTCAGTTGCCCAGGTTAGAGTGCCATGGCGTCAGCCTGGCTCATAGCAACCTCAAACTCCTGGGCTCAGGTGATCTTCCTGCCTCAGCCTCCCAAGTAGCTGGGACTACAGGCATGCGCCACCATGCCTGGGTAATTTTTTCTATTTTTGGTAGAGATGGGGGGGTCTCACTCTTGCTCAGGCTGGTCTCGAACTCCTGAGCTCAAATGTTCTGCCCACCTCACCTCTCAGAGTGCTAGAATTACAAGTGTGAGCCACCACGCACCCCCCCCTTTGTTGTGTATTATTAATCATGCACACGTGTATATTATACATTCTTTCATTTGGGTAAAATATTATACAACTTTTTTACATTGTAAAAGGAAATAAAGATTTTTTTATTGCCTTAAGGTGGGACAAGGGCAAAGGAATTAGGAAGAGTCTGTGGCCAACCTCTTACCTCACCTACCTTCCTGACCCTGCTACCCCTTCTACCTAGAATCCCCCATTTCAACCAACTCCCTCCTGTCCTTGTCACCGTGACTCTAAAGGTGCTTTTCTGACAAACCAAGAAGGTCAAGGGGATATGGTGCTGGCTTGGGGGACAGGGGAGATCAAGAGCTTTCATACTCCATGACCTAACAAACCGCTGTGGTTTCCCTCACTTATTGTCCTATGCAAGGATTTTCAGAAAAGTGCTGCAGTGTCTGCATCTGAATTACACCATCAGACACTTAAAAGTTGAGGGAGGGGCTGGACACAGTGGCTCACACCTGTAATCCTAGCACTCTGGGAGGCTGAGGCGGGCAGATCGCTCAAGGTCAGGAGTTTGAAACCAACCTGAGCAAGAGGGAGACCCTGTCTCTACTATAAATAGAAAGAAATTAATTGGCCAACTAAAAATATATAGAAAAAATTAGCCGGGCATGGTGGCGCATGCCTGTAGTCCCAGCTACTCAGGAGGCTGAGGCAGCAGGATTGCTTGAGCCCAGGAGTTTGAGGTTGCTGTGAGCTAGGCTGGCGTCACGGCACTCTAGCCCAAGCAACAGAGTGAGACTGTCTCAAAAAAAAAAAAAAAAAAAAAATGTTGAGGGAGGGGTTCATGTGCAGAGTTTACCTCAGATAGTTATTTTTAGAAACACAAGCTACATAAATATTTTAACCCTTCTCTTCCTCTCTTCCCTTTTTGCTGTTGGGATACAGGAACAAAGTTAAGATGCAGTGACATTGCTATCTTGGGAATGATGAAAATGTATATGCAAAAGAGACAGATTGAGATTTATTAACGAGTTGATTACTAAAAAATTTAGGAAGGGATCTCAAGGGCACACAGGAAAATTAGACTAAGGGCTTAAGGCATATGTTCATGACAACAAAAAGTGAGGTGAGGGGAAGAAGAAATGGAGCAAATTGAAACAATCTATAAAAGACTAACTATAGCACCACCAGAAATTAACTGTAAAGGTTGCTATAAAATCATAGATGAGGATTTTTTTTAAAAGATCAGCTGGTAAGAATAACTAATAATAAAAAGTTAATTGAGTTTCTAATGGAAACTTAAAATTGAACCAATGGAGGACCTTTTATAAAGAATGGTAGTTAACAAAAAATATCAGGTAAACTTTATGTGAATCTCCTGAAAAACACTGCTTGCATTAGCAAGTATGTAAAAGTAGTATATTTTACCTGTTCAAGAGCTGTTACAAAAGTGTACAAAACATATTAAGCAAAATTGTGCTGCAGACAATTACATACAATCCTTTACTTAAAATTCAGCTGACTCATTTCAATTATCTCTAAAATATGTGGTCATTAAAGAAATAATTGGGTAGGAAATAAAGCATTACTGACTGCTTTTTACTCATAAAGAGTATAAAACTAAAATAAATTTTTGGTTAATTTTTTATGAGATTTAAATTATCTTACCTTTCAAAAACACATAAAATAATTGCTCACAAATCATTTTCTATGGTAGAGAAGAGAACAATTTCTGTTAAAATCAACAAATAATACTTTGTATCTACCTTTGAGAAAAGTGTATTTGTGAAGCAATTTTGAAGTATAAAGTCTACGAGTATGATGGTATTATAAAAGATCACCAATATATGGAAATATAAATGCCACATAGATGTAAATTCTCCTAATGGTTCTTGTGAGCATCATGATTTTCACTGACCATTAAATGCTGGAGACTACTCTTTCTGCATTAGTTATTATATAATGCTTGCCCCATTTTCCTAGTTCTTTATATTAGTCCCTTTTGTGCTGCTATAAAGGAAATACCTGGGGCTGGGTTATTTATAAGGAAAAGAGGTTTATTTGGCTCACAGTTCTGCAGCCTGTGCAAGAAACATGGCACCAGCATCTGCTTCTGGTGAGGACTTCAGGGAGCTTCCAATAATGGTAAAAGGTGAAGGGGAACAAGGGGAGCAGGCGTGTCACATGGTGAGAGCTGAGCAAGAGAGAGGAGATGGTACAAGGCTCTTTTCAACAGAGTGGCACCAAACCATGCATGAGGGATGTGCTCCCATGACCTCCTACCTGGCCCCACCTCCAACATTGGGGATCAAATTTTATCATGAGATTTGGAGGGGGCAAATATCCAACTATATCATTCTTCTTACATGGATTTTAAACCTGTATCAGTGGCTGTTTCTTCAACATTTGGAAACTACAGATACTTATTAGAAAATACGTATTTCATCCTTTCAGGTCATGGATCTTACATTCCTCTTCCACAACAATACTCATTTCCTCATGTTATCCTGATTAAGGAAACAATTTCACCTATTTTTCAAAGAAGCAGTTATTTTACTACAAAGCAGGAATTGTGAGAGATGAGGGGGCACTGTTACACTCTATCGGTGAGAATATAAAGGAAAACTGCCTAGTTTTGAATCCTGCTTCTACCTTTTATAAACTTGGACAGGTAACTGATATCTTCCTTGACTAGTTTTTTCATTTGTAAAATGGAGATAACAATGGTGTCTACTCATAGGTTATTGTGAGAATTAGATAAGAAAATACATATCAAGCGTATTTGTCTGACATATAATAAGCACTCTAAAATTTATGCAATGATGAAGCATAATGATCATAAATAATCTGAAGGAAGAAAATGTGCATCCAAAGGAAAAAGTGTACATTTCCTTTGAGGGAGCACTGCTGACTCTAGGAATGTGTCCTAAGGAAATAATAAGTCAAGTGTTTAAAGGTGTGTACAAGACTATTCATTGCATTGCTGCTCTTAACAGTAAAAAGTTAGAAATAATCTATATATTTGTGAAGAGAGGTTGGTGAAATAAATTATGGTATATCCATACAGTGAAAAAGTTTGGAGACAAAATAGTAAAATAATTATGGATATAGGCTTTGAATATAAATTTCAATGAGCTCAGGCTTCTCTCATCTTTCTTAGAACATCCTGAGTTGTTTCCAGACCATTCTTCCTTGCTTTTCACTTGTATCAGTCAGCTATGCTTTGTAACAATCTTCAAATCTCAGTGGCATACAACAGGAAGCATTTAGTTCTCACTCAGAAGTTTGCAGGGCATCTCTATTTCAAGCTACAATGGCTAGGACAGCTCTGCTTCATGCTATGGCCAGCTAGCTAGGGAATGTTCTTGTCATGACAATCGCAGAAGCACAAGAGAATGAAAAAAAAAAATGTGTGAAGATTCTAAGTTCAAAATTAGCACAATGTTGTTTCAATCCACATTTCATTGGCCAATGAAAGTCATGTGCATGAGCCACAGTCAAGAGTCAGGTGGTACCCTCTCAGCCTCTCATGAAGCTGTGGAGATAGTGTAGATTCAGGGAGGGGTGAGAAATTGGGGCCAGTAATTCAATCTACAGCCTTATTTGTCATCATTTTTATTCTCTGACAGTGAGATTGCTACTCAGGTCTCTTTGAATTCACTGAACTCATCCTAGTTTCTGTTTAACTCTCTTTCTCTTTTAACAAAATATCTAAAAATCTCTTTATAGCTTTATAAAGAGCTTCAGGAACCTCAGGAACCAACTCACTTTGGTGGCACAGAGCTTCCCACACGTACTCTGAAACTCCTTTCTTGGGAATATTTCTACCTTTTGATTTAGCAAAAAAACCACCTCAAATTCATAATGTATTTCAGGAAGAAGGCTTTTTTTTTTTCTTACCAAAATGGGAGAGTGATCCTGTCTGTATTCCCCAGAGGAATAGAAGCTGGTTTGTATTAGGGGCACTCTTGTAGATGAGTAACTCTTCATATGCCTTATAGAAGCTGATATCTACTCCTCTGCATTTAAATGATCAAGTTTTGGAGGCATTATCCAGGCCTTGAACCAATTACAAAGTGGGGTTTTGCCATAGGCTAGCCCTAACAAATAGAAGTGGTTAGAGCGAGAATATAATCAGAATAGAGCGAGAATATAATCAGAATAGAATGTGAATAAAACTTTAGCCCTTTCTCTGGATTCTGAGAGTTCATAATCCAAAAACCAGAGCTTCAAACTAAGAGAGATGAGCTAAGAGATATGAGATATAAGAAATACGCTTTAAAGTATATGTCAAGAATTAGGGATGTAGGCCGGGCATGGTGGCTCATGCCTGTAATCCTAGCACTCTGGGAGGCTGAGGGGGGAGGATTGCTCAAAGTCAGGAGTTCGAAACCAGACTGAGCAAGAGCGAGATCCCCATTTCTACTAAAAATAGAAAGAAATTAATTGGCCAACTAAAAATATATAGAAAAAATTAGCCGGGCATGGTGGCGCATGCCTGTAGTCCCAACTACTTGGGAGGCTGAGGCAGTAGAATTGCTTGAGCCCAGGAGTTTGAGGTTGCTGTGAGCTGGGCTGACACCATAGCACTCTAGCCCAGGCAACAGAGTGAGACTCTTGTCTCAAAAAAAAAAAGAATTAGGGATGTATTTCCCAGAAAAGGAAGATGATGAATGTGGTCAGAAGAGAGCCCATTTCCTTCCTCTTTTCTAATCTTGGCTCCAGAGCCCCCAGCTGAAAGTCTTCAATGTCTCGCAGGTTACAGATTTCACTGTTCCCAGCAGCTTGGAGACAAACATGTGGCTCTTGATAGCTCTACTCCTTTGGGGTAAGTTGGGTTCAGAGGGGGCGGTTCTGGCTTTGGGTAGTCAAGATTTTGTCTTCCTTTGGTATGCTTGGCTAGAACTCATGAGTATAGAGACAGCTGTAGCTGCGTTTTCATGGTTTGTTGGTGCTTATTATATCAAAAGGATGGGAAGGGGACCCTGAAGTAACATTAAGCCTGGAAGCCCCAAACCAAAATAAAGCCTCATCAATAACAACCTGCGGTGGTTCAGTTCTGCTAATACCTGATTTGGGCAAAGGGAGATAGAAACTCAAGAGATCTAAGCTGACCCCTCAGAGTCTACATTAATGCTGTCTCCCCAATTCTCCCTTCCTCAGCATCTCCCACTGACCAACTGATACCTCTATTCTCTGTTCTCTTGCAGTTCCAGCTGGGGGGCAAGTGGGTGAGTGATCTCTAACTCAACTTCTCCTGTGTCACTTTCCTGCGTCTAAATGATGGGTCCTATTAACTTGAAAGGAAGAGTGTCTAGAGAGAGGGTAGAAAGGAGAAAGATTTATAAATTATGTAAAATCTCCCATATTCAGAATGCGATGTTGATAAAACCTTGATTTTTAAGGTTTCTTTCAGGCTTACTGAATGAGCCCTGACCTCTGACCAAATGCCTAAATGTATTTACAATAGTAGGTAAGGGCCAGATTGCAAAACTCCAGAAGTAGCTCCTCTGGGTTCTCCAACATCCCCTACACCAGTTCCCTTTACAAGAAAGCTGAGTAATTTTATTTTCCTCAGAAAGAGCCAGGCAAGTACTGAAGACTTGAAAGGAAGGAGTTGAACCTCCATTTCCAATGCAGAAGCTAATGAAAATCTGTGCTTTACCCTCAGACAGTATAGTACAGAAGATAAGGAAACCAGCTCCAGTCAGTTTGCCCCACTTTACAATGCAAAAGCTTCATTGTTTATCAACAGGGATATCTAAATCAGTAATTTAGTCCTCAGGAGCCAAAATCCCCAACACCCAGATGAAGATTTATCTTTTTTAATTTTTTTTTTTTTTTTTTTGAGACAGAGTCTCACTTTGTTGCCCAGGCTAGTGTGAGTGCCGTGGTGTCAGCCTAGCTCACAGCAACCTCAAACTTCTGGGCTCAGGTAATCCTTCTGCCTCAGCCTCCTGAGTAGCTGGTACTACAGGCATGCGCCACCATGCCCGGCTAATTTTTTCTATATATGTTAGTTGGCCAATTAATTTCTTTCTATTTATCGTAGAGATGGGGTCTCGCTCTTGCTCAGGCTGGTTTCCAACTCCTGACCTTGAGCAATCCGCCCGCCTTGGCCTCCCAGAGTGTTAGGATTACAGGTGTGAGCCACCACGCCCGGCCCAGATGAGGATTTAATAACATGAACAGAGCTCTCTGAAGCAAGGTCTAGACACTCTTGAAAGCTGGTTTTTGTCGGTTCCCTCTTGCCTAGTTTTCAAGCTAACCTAAGTATGCATTTTTTCCCCTTATGCTATCCACAAAACCTTAACAATCACTCAGAGTCCTTCCTTTTACTTCACTTTGTCTTTTTTATTATTATTACTTCCAAGCAGACACCACACAGGCAGTGATTACCTTGCAGCCTCCATGGACCAGTGTATTCCAAAAGGAAAATATAACCTTATGGTGTGAGGGGCCCCGTCTGCCCAGGGACAACTCCACACAGTGGTTTCACAACGGCACAGCCATTCAGACCTTGACCTCCAGATACAGCATCATTTCTGCCAGTGTCAATGACAGTGGTGAATACAGGTGCCAGACAGGTCTCTCAGTGCCAAGTGACCCTGTACATCTGGGAATCCACAGAGGTAAGTATGGCACAGAGGAGAAGGGCTGGAAATCACATCTTCCTTTGTGTTTTCTCCGTTTTTGGATGCCAGATGTGTGTGTGTTAATTTATCTGAGTACAAGTCTCAGCTCTATGTGCCTATCAGGTGAAATTGAGTCAATATACTTAAAACATCATATCAGAGTCCAACAATGGTATACCAACAGCACCCCAACTGAGCCAGCTGTGAGTAGGGTGTCTACAGTAAGACTCAGATCCTAAGATTTTATCACTATTCAAAATGTATGTCTCATATCAGAAATAATAATAATTCAGACAAATGTACAGTGATGAACAATAAAACATCTTCTTCTCACCCCAAAACCCTAGTCCTACAGTCACCTTTCACAGAAACAAAACTGGAAATATACATAAACTTTTTAAAAAACCACAGTTGATAGAATATTCTGTATATATTATCCTACATCATACTTTTATCATTTAAAATATCTTGAAGGTCCATTTATATCAATAGATGTCTACTTTTAAATGTCTGCTGTATGGCTAGATCAGAATTAACCATTCTGCCTATTAGTATACTTCTAAGGTGTTTACATTCTTTTGCTTTTATAAACAATGCTGCAGTAAACATTATTCATATAGTCTGGGGCGTATTTCATGGTATATATGTAAGATGTATTCTGGACATGGAATTATTGTGAGACTTAAATGAATAGAAGCAGAACAAAAAACCACTACCCACTTAAATCTGTAAGCAGTTTCTATTTGTCAAGAGATGAAGACTGCAATATTCTTTAGGGCAAAATGTTTCCTTATTCAGTACAAAATACCCAAATGTATTATTTAGTTATTCAGAAGTAATGAGCCCAAACTTCTTTGAAATTGATAATGCAAAAGTTAATCTATGCTGGAGGTGGAATAACATTTATACAGATTTGATTGCTTTTAGAGGAAATATGTGTAGGCTAAGGAAATGTTGAGAATGTTCTAAGAAAGGCTTACTGTTATTCGTGGGTCTCTTAGGATTCAGGAAGTAAGTTCTTAGGATGGAGCTGACAGAGCTGTTTTAACAAGAACAGTGTAGTTCCAGCAAAAGAAATGTTTCATGGTTCAAGTGACAAAAAATGGACTAGGACTGGGAAAATCCCCTTTCCTCGCCTGCACACAGATTCTAGAATACCTAGCATTGGTGACTTATTGAGAACAGTATCTTCTTTGCATTACATTTTAGTGTGAATATTTTTTGAAGTATAACTTATATACAACAAACCACAGGTGTAAACCTCAGTGAATTTTCACAAAGTAAACAGCACACAGGTCAAGAAATAGGACATTCCCAGGACCCAGAAACTCCTTCTTGCTGGGTTCTAGGTCACCCCCTAACACCGACTTCTGACACCATAAATTTTTGCCTATTTTTGAACTTCATATAAATGGCTACAGTATGATACAGGGGGTACTCTTTTGCATCTGGTTTCTTTTCTCAACGTTATAACTGTGAAATTCATACATGTTGTGAAGTTGAAGTTCATTTGTTCTTATTATTGTGTAATGCTACATATTTTTCCATTCTGACTCTTGGGTTGTTTCCAGTTTTCATCTCTTACAAATAGTACTGCTGTGGACATTTTTTTAACGTGTTTTTTGGTGCACATATGTGTAGATATCTGTTGGAAAATGCCTAGTGGTGGAATTGCTGCATCACAAAATAATCAGCTTTAGTAGATAGTGCTAAACAGTTTTTCAAAGTGGTTGTACCAATTTACACTTCCACAGAGTGTGAGAGTTTGCTTGCTCTCCATCTTTATCAACACTAGGTATTTTCTGTATTTTCATTTTTGCCATTCTAGTGGTTGTGTGGTAATATTATGTTGTGGTTTTAATTTGCATTTCCCTAATGACCATGATATTGACCATTTTTTATGTTTATTACCTAGTTGGATATCCTCTTTTGTCAGGTTACTGTTAAGGTCTTTTTGACAATTTATTTTTTATTTTCTTTTATTTCGGCATATTATGGGGAACAGATTTTAAGGTTTCAATAAATGCCCTCCCCCCCCACAAGTCTGAGTTTCCAGCATGACCATCCCCCCAGATGGTGCACATCTCACTCCTTATGTATATATATACCCGCCCCCTCCCCCCTCCCACCTGCCCAATACCCTATTACTGTAGTACCTATGTGTCCACTTAGGTGCTACTCAGTTAAATACCATGTTAGAGAATATATCTGTGCTTGTTTTCCATTCTTGGGATACTTCACTTAGTAGTATGGGTTCCAGCTCTAACCAGGAAAAATAAAGATATGCTATATCACCGTTGTTTCTTAGAGCTGAATAGTATCCATGGTATACATATACCACATTTATTAATCCATTTTGGATTGATGGCACTTGGCTGTTTCACAGCTTGCAATTATGAATTGTGCTGCTATAAACATTCGAGTGCAGGTGTCTTTTTTGTAGAGTGTCATTGGATCATTTGGGTAGATGCCCAGCAATGGGATTGCTGGATCAAATGGTAGATCACTTGTATTGCTTTAAGGTATCTCCATATTGCTTTCCACAGAGGTTGAACTAGTTTGCAGTCCCACCAGCAGTGTAGGAGTGTTCCTCTCTCTCCGCATCCACGCCAGCATTTGTTATTTGGAGACTTTTTGATAAAGTCTCCATTCTTACTGGAGTTAAGTGATATCTCATTGTAGTTTGATTTGCATTTCCCTGATGATTAGAGATGATGAGCATTTTTTCATATGTTTGTTGGCCATTCTTCTGTCTTCTTTAGAAAAGTTTCTGTTCAAGTCCTTTGCCCACTTTTTAATAGGGTTATTTGATTTTTTCTTGCTGATTTTCGTGAGTTCTAAGTATATTCTAGTTATCACGCCTTTATCGGATACGTAGGATCCAAAATTTTCTCCCATTCTGTAGGTTGTCTGTTTGCTTTCATAGACTATTTCTTTGCTGTGCAGAAGCTTTGTAGTTTCATCATGTCCCATTTATTATTTTTGTTGCTGCTTTGATTGCCTTTGGGGACTTCTTCATAAACTCTTTGCCTAGGCCGATGTCTAGGAGAGTGTTTCCAACATTTTCCTCTAGAATCTAATAGTTTCATACCTTAGGTTTAAGTCTGTTATCCAGCGTGAGTTGATTTTTGTGAGAGGTGAAAGGTGTGGGTCCTGCTTTAGCCTTCTACAAGTGGCTATCCAGTTTTCCAGCACCATTTATTGAAAAGGGATTCTTTTCCCCAGCGTATGTTTTTGTCTGCTTTGTCAAAGATTAATGGCTATATGAGGATGGTTTATATCAGGATTCTCAGAGCTGTTCACAGGTCAATATCCTATTTTTGTGCCATACCAGATTGTTTTAATTACTACAGCTTTGTAGTATAGTTTTGATATCTGGCATATTAATACCTCCCATTTGTTTTGTTGCCCTAGAATTGCTCTTGATATTCGGGTCTCTTTGGTTCCAACAAAGCGTAAAATTATTTTTTCTATATCTGTGAAGAATGCTGATGGATTTTAATAGGTTATTGCATTGAATCTGTATCAGTTTTGGGTAGTATAGACATTTTAATGATGTTGAGTCTGCCAATCCATGAGCATGAATGGTTCCATCTGTTTACATCCTCTGCTAATTCCTTCCTCAGTGTTTCATAGTTCTCCTGTAGAGGTCTTTTACCTCCTGGTAAGTATACTCCTAGGTACTTTAATTTCTTTGTTGCTATTGTGAAGGTATTGATCTTTAATTTGTTCTCAATTTGATTGTTGTTGCGTATACGAATGCCTCTGATTTCTGTGTATTGATTTGTATCCTGAGACTTTTACTAAATTCATTGATCAGTTCCAGGGTTTCTTGGTTGAATCTTTGGGTTTTCTAATATAATACATCAGCAAACAGTGAAAGTTGATCTCTTCTGCCTATTGATACCTTAATTCCACTTTCCTGTCTGATTGCTGTAGCCAGACTTCCAGCACTATGTGAATAGAAGTGGAGATAGTGGCAGCCTTGTCTGTTCCAGTTCTAAGTGGGAATGCTTTCAGTTTTCCCCTTCAGTATAATGTTGGCTATGGTCTGTCATATATGGCTTGTATCATTTTTAGGTATGTCCCTTCTATGCCTTTTCTTAGTGGTCGTATCATGAAAGGGTGTTGAATTTTGTCAAAAGCTTTTTCTGATCTATTGAAAGAATCATGTGGTTTTGTTTTTGCCTTCGCTTATGTGGTGAATGCATTTATATATTTACGTTTGTTGAACCATCCCTGCATCCCTGGGTGAAGCCCACTTGGCTGTGATGGATTATTTTTTTAATAAGCTCTGATTCGGTTGCATAATTTTGTTAAAATTTTTGCATCTATATTCATTAGGGGATATTGGTCTGTAGCTTTCTTTTTTGTTGCATCCTTCCTGGTTTTGGTATCAGGTATATTCGCTTCATAAAGGTGTCGGGAGGTTTCGGTGCTTCTCGATGTTGTGGAATAGTTTCTGCAAGATAGGTACTAGTTCTTCTTTGTAAGTGTGGTAAAATTCGGTGTGAAGCCATCTGGACCAGACTTTTTTTTAGGGAGATTTTTAATGCTGTTTCTATTTCAGCAGTTGAGATTGGTCTGTTCAGGGAATCTATTTCTTCCTGATTGAGCCTAGGGAGGCTGTGTTTCTAGAAA